ACACACACACACACACACACACACACACACCCGGCCAGCGGCTTCCACCTGCTGCGCACCGCCACCCTCAACTGCTCTGCCCGGTGCCAACCGGTAAGACACACACACACAGATACACACTCATACACAGATAAACACACACACACACACAGGTACACACACACACAGATACACAGGTATACGCACGGGTACACAGGTACACACACAGATAAACACACAGATGCACACACAGGTACACACACAGATACACAGGTACACACACACCTACACAGGTACACACACACAGACGGGTACACAGGTACACACACAGATACACACAAAGATACACACAGATACACAGGTACACACACAAAACTAAAAATATTTTTAAATTTCACTTGGCTGTACCCCACAGAGGGATTTATAATTTTTTTATTAGATAACTGCCCTTACCAAATATGACCTGTACTCTTTATTTTTGGTAGAAACGATGCACTCTGGTGTTATTTCCAGCCTGGACCAGCGGGGGCAGTGTTGACAGCAGTTTATTTTTATTTTTATTGCCTGTGTGTTTCAGAACCAGATGTACGTGCCTCCTAAAGACCAGTCCACATGCTGTGGCGTGTGCAGGAACATCTCCTGCCTCCACCAGCATGAGAACGGGACCACGGGGCTCTACAAGGTGGGAACTCTGCTCCTGTGTTTAGCTTCTGAGTGGCTGGACATGAAACCGAGGAGATCCTAATGAAGACAAACACTGATTTATGTTTTTGTGTGATACAACTGACATCGACTCCATTTGCAGAGTGTTATGATTAAAAAATGTTCTCACAAATTCGGCCAACTTCCCTCCATCAGCAGTTCTTTAAAAAAAACCCTCAAACATGAGACCAGACACAGCAGAAAGCTCCAGAAAAGCCGGGAACTTCCTCACAGTCATTCTTCAGGTCAAAGAAGAACTTTAACAAATCTGAGAAGCTGTTATTGAAAGTATCCCCAGCACTAGTCTGACATCAGGACAAAAATCCTCTTTATTTTTATAAATTTTCTGTCATATTTGTTGAATTCGAGCCGATCTTAGATGATCTCAGAGTCAGTAGTTTTCATAAAATGCATTTAGACAATTGCCTGTTTTATTTTAAAAAATGCATGTGAATGGAGTGACCCCCCCCCCCCCCAGTGGATCAGCTGATGGTGTGTGTGTGTGTGTGTGTGTGTTTTCAGCCGGGAAAGTCCTGGGTGTCAAACTGCATGAAGTTTGACTGTGCTGAAACTCTGTCCGGACCAACACTCATCTCCTACTCCTTCAGCTGCCCCCCCTTCAACGAAACCGAGTGCATGAAGGTCAGCCAGCAGAAACAAACGCACACACACACACACACACACGCACACACACACTCACACAGAGGCCTATATTAGAAAGTGGGTCGTTCATCAGATCCCAGGGAACACCTAAACCCATCGCATTAAGTTTCCGTGTTTATTTTCATGCTGATTTGTGTGGAAACATGTGAGAAATGAACATTTCACATGTTAAAACAGAGCAGTTTTATGTCACGTGGACATAACTGGTGCATGGCAACAGAGAATTAAACCAGCAACCGACAGAAAAACCAATGAAAATATCAGGTGGCTCAGTTTAGATTCAAAAACATTATAATAAATGTACCTTCAGTAGAAGTCAAAGGAAAGCTGGAACTGAATATTACACCCATAATATAATATTATACCCATAATTCAGCATCGTCACCTGTCTGAGAGCCAGCACCTATACGGCAACACTGTTAGGACAAAAATAGTTCTTCGTCTTTTCGTCCAAGCAAACTACACTAATAAACACGACCAGTAGAAATAACGAGTAGCTAAAGCCTTCAGAGGAATTTAGTGGAGTAAAAAATCTGACTTTAATCGGTACAGATGTAGTGAAGCGAAAGTAAGTATGTTTTCCAAAGAATTAAACTCAAGTAAAGTACACATTTTCAAAAACTGTACATAGGTACAGTACTAAAGTAAATTTAGAAAGACAACCGAGAACTGAAAGGCAATTATATTCAGCCGCTTTAGGGAAAAATATCTTGATTCAGTATTTATTGAAAGAAGTTAATTATTTCTTATCCTACCCCTTCAAAGCTTTTCCTAAGAAAATATGGCAAATTTGTTTGTTTTGAATGTTAATGTGATTTAAAATATCAGAATCGGAAATACTTTAATAATCCCAGAGAGAAATTATTTAAATTAATTTAAATAATTAAATCTATTAAATAGTTAAAGCATTTTCCATTAACTAAAATTGAAAGATAAAATGGAAATTCAGGGACATATTAACATGTTAATATGATGCTTTATTTATTTATTTATTTATTTTAATTTTTTATAGAGGTTTAGTCCTGAATTAGTCCACAGAAACTTGATTCTCTGGAGGTTCCTCACTATCCTGCTTTTAAGGAGTGTGTTTCTTTACATCTGCTCACATTGTTCTCTGGCACTAAAAGCTTCAGATCCTAAAACCTGAGGTCTTTAGACCCCTTTTAGAGCCCAGACCCCCTGGGCCTGAAGGTGAGGGTCCTTCTGAGAGGGACAAGGTTCAGCTGCACTCCTCCGGAAGCAGGACCAGCTCTGCCCAGCCTCTGTGTGTTAACGGTTTTTGCTCTCGTCTGCACTCAGATCGGAGGAACTGTCGTAAGTTACATGGACGGATGCTGCAAGACGTGTGAGTATCTGGTCTGGGAGTAGCCGGAGTGCTGTAGTTTAGCTTAGAGCTGCAGGCTGCCGCCTCCACCTGCTGCCCAACACGTCTCCACCATGTCCACCATGTCCCCCCCCCTCCACCTCAGTCCAAAAGCTGCCATCGCCCGGTCTGAATTGGCTCATATCAATCCCACCTGTTGTTTTACTTAAAGTCTCGCTTCCTGTTTGTTAACGCGGTCGTGTGGTCGGCCATCTTGCTTTTCAGTGAAGTGGTCAGACATTGTTTTTTAGTGCCGAATCACTGTAAAGCATGGGGGGGATGGCACCGTAGTGGGTTTGTGGTTTACGTGCTGCAGCTTACCGTCATGTACCCATCCCACCAGGTACTGGATTCCATCTGTTCCCCTTCCCCGTTAGCGCCCTGACCCCCACAGTTAACACAGACTGTGAAAGAGGTACCACAGCAACAAGGCTTATCAGTGCCATTGTTGATATTCAACAATGTACTCCCTCCAAAAAGTCATGTTGGGTCACACAGGGAAGCCCAAAGTGGGACTGCAACCTGCTCCCTTCTGCAGAGTCCTCCTCTCAACTGTTGTCCCTCTTTGTGAGGCAAAAATCATCAGAAAACAGACTTTGCATTCTCCTCACTTTTCAAAAGGGATCAGAATGTATTTATTTTTATAGTAAAGTCCAGATTTGATGCTGACAAAAGTTGATAAATGATGTAACAGTTCAGAGGACCCACCGATGTCTGCAGCCTCGTCCCAGCCCTGTGCATCACGTACACGTGCACAACAGATAAACCCCTCCCCATTAGCACTGTCTGGGCAGTGCATTGTTGATTGCCAACAATGTACTGTTGGTAGTGGCCCGGTAGTTGGGCTTAGAC